AGGAATGCCTGTTATGCGGTGCTGCTCTGCTGGAGAGGAAGAGCATTTGGAATTCTTTGTCCTGTCACTAGACAAGCGGGTGCCTCTCAAGTGGGGCATATGTGAAGTAAATGGAATTACTTCAGTGCAAAATTATCCAAGGAGAGATTTTAGCCCCACAAATCTGACAGTCTGTGCAACAGCTAAATATTATTTAGTGACGCTGAATAATGAAACAAATCAGCACAAGATGAGCTAGATCCCACGGAAATCCTAGTGGAGGGCATAAAATGGGGCACAGAGTTTTTACTGACTGGATAACTTTATGAAAACAGATCAAATAACTGAAGTTTCCAGAAAAATTCAAACTCAATTTAAAGCTACACATTTTTAGCAGTGCTGACAACTGCCACTGGGATAATGCACATGGAGACATAATACCGGGCAGAATTTAAGGGCATAAATAGCAGGCAGACACCTCAATAACTGTTATGACTTGAGATGATGACAGATTCCATATTACCTCACCTCAAGATGGGATGTCTTTCAAACAGCAATTCTGTACCTCCTGAAGAAGCTACAGGCATGACAATCATGTTACTGGCAGGTGTTTTTTGGGTTGTGAAGTCAGGCTCAACAAATGAATTGTAACTTCTTAAATTCCCTACCTGAAGTTCTCAGTCTATGGCCTGGTTCTCAATGCTGTTTTTGTACACTCTCACAAATAATCATAATCAAAACTTTATAATGCCCTGTGGAATCAGAGATCCTACTCTTTGCTAAATGTAATTAAAGTATGCACTCTGCTTGTAAATCAAATTACAACATGTTTATTTCATTCCTGACTTGTCTAGTAAAATGCATTTCAACCAAATTTCAAAAAGAAAATATCTGGTAAGCATTTTAGTGAAGAGTTGGGTTCCTTTCTTAATGATTCATCACACAATTACTTAATCCATGTAGAATTGTGTAGAATGAATGATCTATAAGAAAAAAAATACTTAAAACACATCTGAAGTGTTGCCAGGACATACAACTGCAGTAACTCAGTTATGATAGTCTGTAGCATGGTATTATGAAGACAAATGGATGACTGTTGTTTGTAATCATCAGGGTTTTCCAGAAGATTAAACATATGAAAGCAAAGCTTCCTAAGTAATTCCCTAGGAGATTTCATCATATCACAGAGCAGGTTCAAAAGCAACAGCTGATCTAATTCCAAAAGCTCTTAAACTCACTGTACATTCCAATGTATTCTTCCTGGTATTTTTGTAAGCTTGTTTGCTTCAGCCTCTGAAATGCAAAGCATAGGGCAAAAACAGCAGGCTTCAGCGCAAAGCCTGAATGAACAGACTTGAGCAAGAGATCTGTGTGGAATCTGGGCAATTTAACCCTCCCAGATCACACTGGAGCACTAGCACACAGTCACTGCTCCTGTAGCTCCTTCGCATACTGAGGCTTTTGTCTGTGTTATCCAAATCATCTCAGGTCTTTTAGATCTACTGCCCTCTCAGTTTCTTTCACCTCCTTTGCACTCCTCCTCCACCCTCCTTCTGCCAGCCTGAGCAGTATGCATGTGATATCCCCACAGGGGAATCATTTAGGGGCACGCCAAGGTGTCAAGACTCCAGGTTTGATTCCTGTCTCTGCTATCGCCTAGCTTTCATTCTACTGTTTGTTCAGCACGTTCAAAGACATTCTACAAACAACTTCCAGCTATTTACTGAAATCTCTAAAACAAATGGGGGAAGCAGAGGTAAAAAATATTCACTTATAATCAAACAGAAGCACAGTAAAGACTCGATAAATGTCAGACTAGGTCCTCAGCTTATGTATAACAGCAAATCCATGCTGACCTCTATCCATGTCAGTCTAATCAGGCTAATTTACATTCATTAAGAATCTAGCTTTGACCTCTGCATTATATTAAGTGAAAACCATTATTGGGGCTTGTCAGCCATACACAATAGCCTATCTCAGATCCTTGATCAAACTTCTCGGATTTTGCTGAGGTTGATAAATTCCTGAATCAAATTTCAGAGTCAAAGTGATGTCACAACTCTTACTTTTTCTGCAAACCATGTGTCTTGGTTCTTTAGCAAATCAATGAAATACAAGGGACTGACATCAGTTATATACTTAAGGTAAGTTCCAAAGGCTGCCCTATTATGTCACAATCCTGATTTATCCAAAATACACTACTTCATAATAACATTACAAGCAATCATGAGATGCTTATTTGGTTGGATGCAAGGGTGCTGCTCAAGCTGACTCCACAATGCAGTGCTGCCACATATAAGTTCACAGATCCTGTTTCTTACATGTAAGAAAATGCTCTGAGATAAACAGATCTTCTATATTGTTGTTATTTATTATTTAAGGAAAAGGAGTTACGAGATCAGTAACAGTTGTCTGTGCCTTGCTTTTAGACTGGAGTTAATTTCTGGAGCAGAGGAATTTTATAAGAAGCAGGCACTCGTGTCAAATTCTTAAAAGAAGGGATTTTCTGCATGTTTTTTATAACTGCTTCTGTTCAGGCCTGGTATGTCAGTAAAACAATTTATACTAAGAATATTCTCAGATGTTCCATCACTTGTTCCCAGTTGACCAGCAAGGTGGCCTGAAAGACCCAAGATATGTACTAACTTCATAAAAGGAAAACTGTACCATGGAAAATGGTTTATTTAACAGTATGAAAAAGCTATATAAGAGAAAAAATACATCATCTGAATCTGCGCTACCAAGACCACCTGCAAGTGATAACGTTTGTACGAATTTTAATTAGAGAAACAACATTTTCTTGCAGTATCTCCTTGCCCTTTCCAAGCAACATAGCTGAATAGTTTAAGTTGCTATGGTTACAATGGGTTGTGGCAGACTGTGGATCATCATGATCGTGACATATTTGCACATAAAGAACAAAGGCTGCATCTTTCCATTTCAGCCAGATGATTTTAGCCCTAAGTATTTCTATGAATTTAAATCAATTGATGCAACTTGGAATATTAACAGTCATACTAGGTGAAGAAAAAAGAAAACTTCATGGTAGCTCAGCTCTTCAGTTTAAAGTTCCTTTGCCACAAAGCATTATTCCAGTTAGAAGTTCACTTTAAGAAAATAAATAGCAACTTTTCAACAACTCATATAGAACAGGAGTTTTTATATAGGCTTTAGAAAGAATGCCAAGCTGTTGCCTTGGCTCTCAAGCTATTAAAGGCACAGTCTGTTTCTCATGAATGAAGAGCAAAGAACTGGCTGATATTCGAACTCTCTCCCAGTTTTGGTTCATTCTATCTGCAAATGTAGCAATCTTGCCTTCCCACTACACTGTGCAACTATTTTTCATTATACATTGGCATCATATCCACTAGAATACCTAGTGTCTTCCATTTAGAGGCAGCCAAGTCTTTTGATCCAAAACAGTTGTTAACTTTTCGAAGTATTTCTTTATGAAAAAGCAAAAGAGAAATCCTCGAAACATTTTAGTGAAATCCTGTGTGAAAATGATTTGTAGGAAAAATCGAATCAATAGGTGTGTACAGGATAGAGGGAGAGAGGGTGTGTCTGTGCTTGCGTGCATTCTAGCTTTCAGATGTTTTCATCCAACTAATTTCAAGGGTTAAGAGCAAGATAGCGCACTAAAGTGATTCCAGATGGGCCTATATTAATATCTTTCTTTTCCTGATGAATGAGAAGGTATGACCTAGTTATAAAACTGCTAAAATTACAGGCGCCACAGAGGCTTCAGCTGGTGCCCTACCACATAGATATTTATCCTTACCTCTGCAATTATAATGCTGATGAGCTGCTCGAACCTGCTGAAGGAGACGTTCCAGGGCCTCAGTGTGTCCCCTGTGCCGAGGTTCTCTTCCACTGCAGTCTTTCCAGTCTATTGAACAAAGGAAATAAACAGAAATGAAACACAAAGGAGCAGGAGAGGGTTTTTAAAAATATTTTCTTGCCTCTGATATTTCTTGGCTTTACAGGAGTCTTATATCTGGGCACACAGGAAAAAATGGCAGTTGTTTTTAAGTGTGCAGTTGTTACTTCTACAATAAGCTTCCCCTGCCTCATGCCAGAGAGGTAATTAATCATAATGATTACTAACAAAGAGCTCACAATCACCTCCCAGAAGCTCCTGTAGTGACTGGCTAGACAACGTCTACTTCTCTTCAGTACGTAAATGGCCTCTGTTACTGCAGTGTCAGAGCTGCTCTCAGCCGTCACTGTACTGACCCTCACAATACCTCCCTGAGGTAACACTACTGCTTCTTCTGTGTGTCACTGAGGCACCAGGAGGCTAAATGACTCTCCTGCAGTTATACAGGAAACCCGCTGTAAAGCAGAGAACGAACATCTTCCTACATCCAGACCTAGCTCTGTAGCCACAGAAGCATGCTCTGAATAAAGGCACTTTTGAAAATCTGCTCCCAGCAAAGAGGACTGACCGCTGGCAATTCCCGCCCTCGTGTCTACAGTCTGCTCAGCACTGCACTCGTGAGGCAAGAAGCCGCGGTTTCTGTCCCACATCCCTTCCACCTACAAAAGACTTTGTTTTCACCCTCATTTGCTGCTAGCTACAATCTCAGTCTTGATTAAAAAAAAAAAAAAAACAGTCCACCCTATCACAGATGGAAGGATGAAACTGTGTATATCAGAGAGGAATTTTCTAATTCCAGCTTTGACTGTTTTTATATTTTTATTATAATGAGAAAAAATTATCCCACCACAATTTCCTGACTCAAAGTAGTGGTGACTGATCAGGGTTTTAAGAGATCCATCTGCCTGCAAAGGAGACCTGCTTCTTCCTTGCTGGCATAGAGGCCGTGTACGTATTCACCACCACCAACAAACTGCTCACTCAATAAATATGCAGTTCTAGTTTATAGTGTAAGTTCAGAGTCAAACATTCCTTCCAAGGGGCTCACTATGCCAGGCATATAAACGTATTTTTGCTGTCATTTACTATAGCAGCTAGAACGATGATAAGCCCCATAAAAGAGTGGAAAGAGAAGACAATGGCTACCCTGATAGCCTGTGGGCAGTTGTAATAGCTGCAGAGTAGCTATCCTGCATGTTGGATACTACTGTAGAGATCAAGAGGCAGCTGCATTTATAGCTCTGTGTGAGGAGGTCAGTTCTCAGATCTCCTGTGGGCAGCCAAGAAGAACCAGCTGGAAGTCACCAAGCCCAAAGTGGTCTGGGGAGAGGGAGCAGTAGAGTTTAGAACAACCCCACAATTTCTCTAACCCCGTGGTTCCCAAACTTTTTGAACCTCCAGATTGCTGACTATCTTCCAAATGACATGAAAATCAGACCAGCTCCCTTATCGTCCATTACTCACATGCTAATCAATAAGCCTACAAATGTTATCATCCACTATGGTTTCCCAGATCAGCTTTACAACACTGGCCAGAGCTTTCCAGGCTGCTAGACTCCATGTGTGGGAAACAGGCAGGCAGGGGCAAGTGCTCACTGTCATGCTACAAGGATGCATCTCCAAGGATGTCACTGAGCTTTGATGGGATCTGGGATCGGAATAGATCAGGTTTAAGCCCCGAAGCTTTCATTTCCCTTGCATATTCTTCTAGCTCCCATGACAAACACTTCTGTAGAGTGTTAATGTATTTATGTTTAACTTTTAGCTTAGGGTCATATTCTGTTACGTAACACCAGTGTTAATTTCAGGTTGCTTTCTTCTTGCCAAGGACAGGCTGTTTGTTAGTTTTCAAAACCAATGGTGAAAGCAGCCATGCGGATAAACTCTGCCCCCAGTAACTGCAACAGTAAATAGCATCTTGTCTCTCAAGCTAAAATTGTGATATTAGTATTACTTAATAATTTACATTTAGGCTCTGAGGGTCTCGCTTGCTGCTAAGCGTAAGCATGTGTCACTACGGATACTTAATGAAAACACCACATTATTGCCAGCTATATTGCAGTGAGAGCTGAGCCTGCCTAATGCTTCAGTGTTCAACCAACAAAGAACACATACACATATAGCCATGAAGAAACACTGCTCTTTGCCACAAACTCTCAAAAGTTCCCATGCATATGAACGGATGCTCCTGTTCTCCCACAGGGAAATCCAAAATACTCCTTTTATTACCTTGCTTACCTTTCAGAAAACACCACCACACTCACGGTCCAAGGCACTTCAGTGCTACTCTAATGGATGTGACAAGCCCCAGAGGCAGGGACTTTGCTGAGTTCTGAGCAGTTGTATGTGACAATGTGGCCCTAATTCTGACAAGTCTAGGACTTTTTGCTACTCCAGAGCCCAGAATCCCTGATACACTAAACACGGGAAAATGAACTTCACTCTCTAGATAGTTCTTGTGTTGATCCACCGAAACCTGAAGGAAAACTTCCCCTACTTCCCAAAGCTTTGGAACTAGCCCATATTGTCAGACTCCAAAAGATTAAAAGCAGTGGATGGACTAGAAATAGGCAGGGAAGACAATGCAATATGTTCAAAGTAAACTTTCATATC